CACTAAGTCCCTCCCCCATCCATCTTTATTCTTTTCTTCACAATAAGGCTTTCAAATAAGTCATGGTTGTACGGCAGTGAAGCATCGGTGTTGAACATTGATGTCATGCTGTCGATGATGATGATGATTTCTGCAAGTATGTGCATCCCCCTTCGTGTTCAGTTTTATCGTCGGTAAATATCGAGGCAAACGCCGTGAGACCTCTGAAACCGCGTTGTTGAAATCCTTGTTAGTGAGAACGTTGTCGATCTAGAGTACACAGAGGGGATTGTACTCATCTTTGAAGACAAAGGTCAAACACAAGCCCTGTTGAGTAAACTGACCATCGTCATACTATCTTTCGGCATGCGTCTTGTACTTTAAAGTGCAAAGTCCTGTTTGGGAACGTGCAGTCTCTGAATATATCCCTTACAATTCAAGAAGAGGCGGTGGAGAACGTTGGGAATTTTACATGCCTCGGTAGTTGTATTAGTTCCGACGGAAGTTTGTCTTATTAAGTCGGTGCACGAATTCCAAAGGCACGAATCACGTCTGTTAATTTGCGTCGCTTGTGACGTCACAAAAGCGTATCTCGTATACCAGGCCACAGTAAATGGTTGCGAAACATAACCTCTGCAAAACAGTCGGTGTGAGGTGCTTTCAGTTTTTTTAGCCACTGACGCCTTAGACGCGTTGCTGGTGTCGGGTGTCGTCAACGGATTGATTACAAGGTAATTAGAAAACGGGTACTTGGTTGTGCAGGAGGTACTTCAGTCGGGGAAGACATCCAGAAACACCGACTATGGTGGCTTAGTCATATGCTGCGCATGCCAAAACATCATCATCATCATCATCAAAGACAGCAACATCAGTGTTGGCACTGATGCTTCGCTGCCTACATGGCAAAATACCATCTACCAAGACGAATGTTGTTCTCTGTACCTCTTCCAGAACAGCGCAAGCCGCGAAGGGAACAACAAATACCTGACAGAAGGGTGTGACAGAGATTACTAAGAATTTTGGTGTTGTTGGTATGGTTTGCCTTCGAGGATAGGGTCACCGTGACCTGTTCTGCGCTTGGCTGAAGACATGGCACGATCGATATAAGTAGCATTGGTGTTGTCAGTTTCTTCCCAGATTGTTAGGTTGAAAGCTTGAAGATGTAGGTACATCAGGATGCCCGTGATGGAACAACACCAAGTCCACTGCCTCACCCACTATTTTTCCCTTTTCACTCTGACTTTCAATATTATTAGATAAAACTTGTCTTTGTACGGTGGTCAACACCATGTCAACACTCATATTGCTGCCTCCGTCACGAAGAGACTAGACCTTGCCGTGGTGTGACGGTTTGCGCACCTCAGCGATCCACTGAGCTATACTGAGGAGTGTCCCGCGACACTCACAGAGTCTCTCACACCAGGTTGGTCAATGGTTAGAGGTCTGACGAACACAGTCTCCTGGCCCTTCAGGTTGGGGGTTGGAACATAAGGCGACTTTCCCGCCAGACACCGCTGCCTTGCGGTTAGGCTTTTGAGCCAAAGGCTTTGGTTGAGGACCCTAATCGTCCTCCTGTCTAGGTGTGGGCGCGCTGGTAGTAGCCCAGCCCACGTACAGCCATGAATTGCACATACACAAATAAACTCCGTTTGCCTGCATTCGGGAAAAGGAGTCTGTCCCAGACAACTGGGGATAATCGGTGATAGTGCCCATTTTCAAAAAAGGGGCGCGTAGTGAGTGTGGTAACCACAGGGGGATCAGCCTCACCCCGGTTGTAACGAGACTGTTCGCGTCAATTGTTTGTCGCCTTGTGGCTCGTGAGATACTGACCCGAGAGCAGCAAGCGGGATTCCGGCCTGGTAGGGGTTGTGTTGACCAAATCTTCACACTGCGTCAGGTGCTAGAACAACGCCATACGTATAAACGACCCACAATTCTAGTATTCCTGGATATCCGAGGCGCATTCGACTCGGTTGATCGGTCTGTTCTTATCGAGACGCTTGCCCACCAAGGAATGCCCCGGAAGTTTGTAAACATAATACGTTCTTTGTATTCTCAGACTTCCGGACGTGTGAGAGTGTACGGAGAGCTCTCCAAAAGCTTCCGCACACAAAGCGGGTTCTGCGCTTGGCTGAAGACATGGCACGATCGATATAAGTAGCATTGGTGTTGTCAGTTTCTTCCCAGATTGTTAGGTTGAAAGCTTGAAGATGTAGGTACATCAGGATGCCCGTGATGGAACAACACCAAGTCCACTGCCTCACCCACTATTTTTCCCTTTTCACTCTGACTTTCAATATTATTAGATAAAACTTGTCTTTGTACGGTGGTCAACACCATGTCAACACTCATATTGCTGCCTCCGTCAC